TGATGACCTAGAGTAGCACAGTAGGGTAACCAGTTGACAGTGATTAACTGTGTGCTTCAAAATAGCTAGTAGAGAGGATCTCTGAATGTTCCTTGAAGAAATGGTCAGCACTCAAGAGGACGACCAGCCCAGGTTCCCTGATCTGCCTACTGCACGCTGTATGCAACCCATGAGCACGCACAGTTACTCTGTGTTGATTAAGAATAAAATAGCTCAGTAGTTGAGTGTTTGCTTAGTATGCATGAGGGCTAGGTTTGACTTCCAGCATTACAAAGAATTAAATATATTTTTTAAAGGGCAGATTACAAGCCAGGATGCAGCTCGCTAGAAGGGTGCATGCTTAGCATGCAGTAAGTTTGATACCCAATGTGACAAAAATTAAAAAATGAAAATTAAAAGGCAGACAAGTGTATATATACACTTTTCCCAGTATTTTTAAAAGCAATTAGTCTTTTAAAAACTAATATTCATTGAGAATTTATCAAGTGCACAGCACTGTTCAGATTCACACAGCCACTCCCATACATACCAATTCTATGTACAACACTTTAGAGCAGAAAAAATTATCATCCCTCCTTTTTTTTTAAGCACTAAGGACTGAATCAAGGGTCTCATGCATGCAAGACAAACCCTCTGCCACTAAGTTCTATAATCCCACCCCTTTTGATTTTATTTTGAATAAGGGTCCCATTAAGTCAGCCAAGCTGACCTGGAACTTGGAATCCTCCTGCCTCAGCTTCTCCTGAGTATTTGGGATGACAGGCATGCACCACTTTGCCCAACTATTATCTCCATTTTACAGATGAGGAAGCTGAGGTTTGGAGAGATTAAACAACTTGCAGGACATCATCTACCGTGTTCTTCTCCACTCCCTGGTCCTACAGCTTTCCATGCACAGAAAAAAAGACTGGACGCAGACTACAAAGACAGTGGTCTATTCAAACAGCTTAGACTTGAATTCTCCTCTTTGTGTTATCATTCCAAATTTTCTACAGGACCATCTATCTATCTATATACATCCATCCATCCATCATTTATTGTGTTTTTCTGATTACCAATACTAAAGCAGTGGTTTATTAAAAATTCAACATTTTCGAGTTTTTGTTTTGTTTTTTGAGACAAGGTCTCACTCTGTAGTCCTGGCTGGCCTCAAACTCACAGCAATCCTTCTGCCTCAGCCTCCCAAATGCTGGGATTACAGGTGTGCACTACCACACCCCCCAACATTTACAGATTTAAAAGTTCCTATAATCTTAACAGAGATAAAACATTTAAGACTATACAGCTCCAAATTTATTTATTGAAATAAAAAGTATATGTAAATTGGGTGTAAACGTGCCTGTAATCCCAGTTCTTTGGGAGGCTGGGCAGGAGGACTGCAAGTTTGAGCCTAGCATAGGTAATTTATTGACTTGAGATCCCGTTTCAAAATAAAACATTAAGAGCTAGATTATAGCTTCATGTGAAGGCCCTGAACTAAAGCCCCAGCACACACACACACACACACACACACACACACACACACACACACAAAAATGTAAATAAAAATATCCAAATCATTTTTATGTAAAACTGTCACTCAGTATCTGAGTAAGATTGGTTTCAGGGCCACCTCTCCCCCATCCAGCAGCTGCTCAAGTCCCTGTGTAAAACAGGGTGTGCAGTATTCACATATAACCTGGTATTATGTAAATCATCTCCAGATTACTAATGATGCTTAACATAACGTAAGGGCTATGTAAATATATGTTATGCTGTTTTATTTAGGAAATGATGCGAACAAAAAACCTTTACACATGTGGTATAGATGTATATATATACACAGAGGGACAGACAGACAGACAGATAGAATATGAACTTGAAAATTCTACGTGTGTCGGGAATGGGATCCAGGACCTGGAGCACACTGAAGATATTTTTTTTTCTTTCTCTTTTTTCCCTACACTTGAATCTAAGGCCTTCACACTGAGGTACATCCCCAATCTTTTATTTTTTTTTTTTTATTTTTCATTTTGAGACAGGATCCTGCTAAATTGCCCAGGCTAAATTCAATCTTGTGATCCTCCTGCCTTGGCCTCCCAGAGGGCTGAGATTATAGCTATCATCAGACCTGGCCTACCTTGAAGTACTTCTGATCAACAGTTTATTAGATCCAAGAATACAGAACCTGGGCTTGTGGTGGGTTGACATATTTGCTGCTTATTTTTAAAAAAGTAATTAGATCAAACATTCTACTTTGTAAGCTGTTTGTTCCCCCTTATATCACATTACACATCACTGCTTCTCATCTGAAACAAAGCCTTGCTATGCTGCCCAGGCTCAGCCTGAACTTGTGGGTTATGATTCTTTCTGTTCGGCTCCCCCAAGCAGCTGCAGCTATGCCATCACACCTTCTATGGATCCTACACCTCTGCAAGAAATCACACGTTTTTAGCCAGGCACAGTGGCACACGCCTGTAATCCCAGCACTCAGGAGGCTGAGGCAAGAGGATCACCATGAGATCAAGATCAACCTGAGCTACAAGACAAGACTGTCTCAAAAAGGGGGGGGGGTTCCAGTTTAATTTTCAACAGCTAAAAAAAGATTCTGTTGTATGATTGAATCATATTAATCCTCTAGTGGCCTACATCCACGTGGGTTATTTGTGATTTCCTGTAATTACAAATATTGTTGCCTTGAATACCTTTCCATCTACCTTTCTATCCAAGTATAAATATCATGTGTTACTTTGAGAATAAAAAAGAAATCAGTGCCAAATGCATAGTACATTACATACACACACGAAAGCAGTGAAATTAGGATGCAGGAAGATGTGACAGTCAGGTAACCAAGACACGAGGAGCCCCGCAAAGCACTCACGGCTGCCTCACCACATCCGGGCTAGCTCGGGGGCAGGGCACCTGCCTGGCGTGCTCCAGGCCCAGGTTCCGACCCCAACTGCAACTGATTCATCCATCAACAGCAAACTCGCTGCCCACTGTGCACCTCTCTCCTCATGGAGCCCCACCACACATCGAGCTCCCACCCAAGGTCTGCAGTACCCAGGTGGCTCTCGGCCAGCAATGGGGGTGAACAGCCTCACCTGGGGCGACTGACACGTGGGCAGCTGGCGTGTGAGGTGTTACAATGCCCTCCACTGTCACAAGGAGCCAGAGCACTCCTGACACACAGGAAGTGAGAGCCTGTGGTGCTAAGGTCCTGCATGGTGAAAACTGCCCCTTCTGGGGCTGGGGATTTAGCTCAGCGGCATAAACACCTGCCTTGCAAGCAGGCAGTCGTGAGTTTGATCCCCGGTACTGATAAAAAGGAAAAAGACAAAAAAAATGAAAATGAAAAAGAAAAAAAAAAAAAGAAAACTGCCCCTTCCAAAACGTCAGCTGTCCCCCAAGGACCCGCACTAGCCAGGCCCTCCTTGAGGCCTTTGAGACCAGGAAGCAAGCCAGGCCGAAAACCTGTAAGATGAGCACAGTCCCCACCCCTGGGACGGCTCCTGGCGTGTGATACATACAAAGTGTCTAGCCTAATGCCTGACCCCAAAGGGACTTCATAAACCCAGCAGATGTGCGAAGCTTTTTTATTCTTCTCCCTCCGATGCTTATTTCTCATCCCCATGCCCGTACCCACAAGGCACCTTCTTCCTGGACCACCCTGCCCGATCACGTCTAGCTGCAAATAACCAGCATCCTTACTATGCAGTCCACTCTCCTTCTTGTAGTTTCCTTTTGCTCCCAACTCCCAGGCCTAAGCCGGGGAACAAAACTCCTGTCTCCGACACTTCCTGGACCAGCACCGGTTCCTCGGCCAGTAGGCCTAGGATTCCACCCTGGCTCTGTCCTTGCTAGCTCTGTGACCTGGAGCAGGTGCCCACCCTCTCTGGGCCCTCACAGCACACAGGACACAGCTTTAGTTGATGGTACACATTTCTGTCGCCACTTGTATTACAACCCCTGAGATTTGCAGTCACAACGCTCAACGCCAGTACTGTTCTTTGTGGACATACACTGGAATGCTCCTTAAGGACATCAAGGGAGCTACTAGAGAAAGTCCTGAGAGTGACACTGCTATGCTGGAAGGAGGGGACTGAGTGTGGAGAGAGGGATGAATGAACTATTTACCTGTCAGACGTGGGAAATGGAGTGGAAAATAGAGTGAGTGCAGTCAAATAAACAAGAAAGGGAGAAGCATCTCCCTCGTGGCAGAAAGATGCTCTCTTAATTCTCACCTCCATGCATCCTTCCACCATGCAGCAGCATCTGGGGTGACAACCTGGCCACCAGATGAGCCTGGAGCCACCTTCTGCACTGCATGGGCTTCGTTTAATAAGCATTTGTTTTTCATCAAAAGACAAACTTCCTGAGGCTCCAGGAGCACCACTCAGGCACATTTACAATGTGGAGTAAAGATAACAGGAGTCCAAGGTGCACGCCGTGGAGTGAATGGCAGCCAAGGGCATGTCCACGTGATTCAGGCTGAAGAACTTACTGAGAGCACAGAAAGAGACGGTAAAGAGCCAGGCTCCTGGTACACTGCTGGCTTCTGACCACAGTCACGTGCTTTCCACCTCTGTGGATCTGACCAACTGAGGTTCAGAACACTGTGGGGGAGAAGGCAGCCCTGCAGCCCTGGCATGTGGATGGGCTCACTCTCCACTGTGGGTGCTGAGCTGTGCCTGTAGGGTGCTCAGCTGCACCCCTGGCCTCTACTCATCCCACACCCAAGTTCCCTGAAGACACTGACAAATGTCCCCAAGGTGCAAAGTCACCTGGGTTGAGAACCACTGGTCAGCAGATGGAGATGGTGCTGGCCAATAGTCCAGGGCTAGAGGGTTGAGGATCGTCCATCTCCTGCAGGCCATGGGAGGGAGACCAAGCCCAAGCTCCCTCTCCCTGAAAGGGCCAGGCCACCCCTGCCCTCAGCCAACGCCCTCAGGCAGGCACCGTGTGGCCCTGCCTTTCCCACCAGGGCCACCCTCTCCCCGTCACCTGGTCACCCCCCTTACCCAGCCTGATGTCTCCCTCCAGGGTCATCAGCACGTTGCCAGCCTTCAGGTCACGGTGGATGATCTTCTTGCTGTGCAGAAAGGTGAGGGCTTCTAGCATCTGGCGGCAAACAACCTGAATCTGGGGCTCAGTGAGGCCTCTGTCCAGCTCTGGAAAAAGTTCAGCAAGCACTTAACATGAGCAACTGAACTGCAGGCATTTGACCTTATTGACCCATTTCATCCCCAAAAGCTCTATGGAACAGGCAAAGATATTATTTCCATTTCACAGATGGTCACTTGCTGCATTTCACGGAGGTCACTTGCTCAAGGCCACAAAGTGGGGAAGACACAGATCTGAGATTCAAACCAGAGTCTCACTTCAGAGTTCAGGTTCATAAATACAACCCCAGTAACATGCAGAGATGCACTGTGTCAGCAGACATAGACTGTCTTACTCCGTGTTCCACCGCTATAACAAAATACCTGGTACCCGGTAACTGATGAAGTTTATTTGGGTTCAAGGTTTTGGGGGACTGGGAAGTTCAAGAACATGGTGGCAATATGTGATGAGACCTTCTTGCTGATCCTGACGTGGAGGAGGGCATCACACGATTGTGTGTGTGTGTGTGTGTGTGTGTGTGTGTGTGTGTGTGTGTGCAGTATTAGGGATCAAACCCAGGACCTTGCACATTGCTAGGCAAGCACACCACCAAGCTATACCCCAGTCTTTCTCTTCCACATCTTAGAAAGCCACTAATCCCATCACAGAAACCCTATTCTATCACCTCATCTAATCCTAGTCACCTTCCAAAGTGCCACCTCTCAACGCCATTAACATCTGAGTCCGGGAGTTAAGTTCTGAACACATGAACTGTGGGGGCCACAGTTAAACCACAGCATCTGGGAGCGCTTTTTAAGCATCGGGCTCTCTGCCTGGTGCTCAGGTGCAGAGAGGGACATGGACACAGTGAAGGATGCTCAGATACTTGGGCTATGCTTTGAGGGAAGACAGGAGAGAGAGCCGGACAAGGGCATCCCAGGTCAAGACCAGCAGAAGCACAGCCTGGGGGCGGGGCAGACATGAGCTGGTACTCAGGAAGTGTCTCTGCCTGCCTCTCCCGGTGGCCAGGAATCCACAAGGCCTAATTCTCTGCCAGGTCCATTAGGAATGGTCAGAATAAACACAGCCAGGGCTGTGAAGCCGGGGCTGGGCTGAGAAGCTGGGGCCCAAACAAGAGTCCTGAACCAGGACCCCTCTCTCTGGGGTCTGCAAGCTGCTCCTTTCCAAGTGGCCTCATTCTTAACCTCTGTGTCCTCAGCCGGAGCCTGAACCCACGCTCTGCTCTCCACAGCTCGTGGTTCCTGACAGGAAGCTAAGCACTCCTTTGTCTCCTGGTCTATAGATAGGACGATAGGGGCTGGGGATTTAGCTCAGTGGCATAAGCGCCTGCCTTGCAAGCAGGCAGTCGTGAGTTCAATCCCTGGTACCGATAAAAAGGAAAAAGACAAAAAAAAAAAAAAAAAGAATATAGATAGGACGATTACAATTTACGAGGTTGGGCTCTGTGCACAAAGCATGTTCATTTTTCAAGGTGTCAAATAAGCAATAAAAAGTGATTCTAACAACCAAGTGTGGTAGCATAGGCTTGTAATCCCAGCACTCGGGAGCTTGAGGCAGGAGGATCACAAGTTCCAGGCCAGCCTGGACAAGCCAGCAAAAACCTGGTTACTGTTATGCTGATTCTGAAATGAGTCCAGGGCTGGGGTATCAGCAGTAATTTTTTTAAAACATGTTTTAAAAAATGTGACTTATTCATGTCTGATTTACTGAGATAAAAAAAATCAACAACAAAGTAATGATATTCTACAGATAATTAGGATCTAATCACCACCATGCTTAAGCCTTTATAATGTGCCAGACACTGTACTAGGACTTAGTACATAATTTCACCTAAGCCCCACACTAATCACATGACTATGGCCTGATGCATTCCTCAAAGTCAGGTTTATTGAGGTTACATATGGTAAAATTCGCTTTTGTTTGAATGTACAGCTCTATAAATTTTAACAGTCACATAATCCATCACAATTTAGTTCCGGAACACTTCCACCATTTCCTAAATTTTTCCACGCCCTTCGAAGTCAAAACCTCCCCGCTCCGGTCCCTCGGTGCCCCCTCATTTGACTTCCGGCCCCATTGTTTCACCCTTTCCTGGAACCCATAAAACTGGACTCATACATGCAAAGCCTTTGAAGCCCAATACATTTTTAAGCACAGATTTTACTTACAGAGCATTATATGAATGCCTTCTCCTTACTGTTTAAAAATTACATCAGCTCTGCTGTGGTGGCTGTTAAGTGTAGGAACTTGGAGGCTGGGGCAGGAAGATGAAGAATCTGAGGCTAGCCGGGGTAATTTTGAGAGGCTGGTCTCACACTATGAATTCTAAAGCAACGGCTGGGGTGTGACTGAGTGGCAGAGCATTTGCCCAGCAAGTGGGAAGCCCTGAATTCAGTCCTCCAAAGTGGAAAACCAAACCACAGATTTCTGATGCCATCTCTGATCCCAGCCCTGAGTCTTTAATTAGATGAGGATTTGGAGCCTAAGCGTCTTCATAGCAGGCAGGACATGGCCAGTCATGTCCTTCTCACTCTGAACAGCATGAGGTGTCAGACTAGAGCGGCCACACAGTGACTGGCTACATGGAGATTCTGCCCATCTCACCAAAGGGCCAGCTCAGGGCCCCACAGCTAGAAACAAACAACTAGGAATGAACCCAGGTTCCCAGGCACCTGTGCAGGCTGGTAAGGGCTCCAAGCCCTGGACAATGGCAGGGTGGAGGAAGGGCAGGAAGCCCCTAGGCAGGGCAGGTGTCGGTGGGCGGCCAGGCAGGCACACGGGTCCTTCCTTATCAAGTGACTGCACCCCAGCTTCTCACACCTTGATTCCCAGAATGTTTTCCCCAGAAACCAGTTTGAAAATTTTGGCTCCTTAGTATCTTGTGAATCCCAACTCCTACAAAGCTATCATTTTGATTGTCAGACTCATCCTCAAGGATATTGTCTGTTGAGAGAGCCAGTATCTCCTTTCCCACTGTCATTTACCTGCCTGCGGGCTCAACGAGGGGGGCTGGGACATTCTCCAAGGTCCATATGGTACAGACGGTCCTCAGCTTAGCACTTCGGGAAATGGTGGACTCTTTAAGGGGCGGGCCCTCGGGACAGACTGAGGGTCACTGAGAGAGTGCCCATGATGCGGTCAGTGGGTGCTGGCCTCTTCCTGTTTTTCTCTCCCAGTCATGAGGTCAGGGCTGCTTCTACCATGGGCTCCACAACCCTACCATGATGCATTGCCTGGACACAGGCTCAAAGCAATAAACCATGAACTGAAACTTGCCAAACTGTGAGCCAAGATAAACCTTTCCTCTTTTTAATTTTCTTCTTTGATTTTCTTAGGCACTTGTTATAGTAACAGAACATGACTACCATAACACTCTGCACGGAAGTTCTGTGGGTCCAGCCAATCTATGGCTCCTGCCACAAAAATGGGGATGATCTGCTATAAATGTGAGACAGCCCTGAGATGAATGGGCGAAGGGGAGACTGGACAGATGGATGGCTTTCCTACAACATTCTGCTGGACGTCTCTTTCCTGAGCCACTGAAGAATCCTGGGCTTGCCATTCACCTTATGTCGACCTGACCTGTGGCCGCTTGTCACTGACTGCCCTGAGGGCCGGTACAAGCAGGGAGCAATGCAGGACAGGCAGTGACTGGGATTTGTGTCTCTGTTCTGCTCTGTGATGGGGCAAGCTCCTCCTTAACCTCCAGGTCAGTCTGATTAAGAATAAAACATAGCCAGCGCCACATGCCTGTAATACCAGCACTCTGGGAAGCTGAGACAGGGGAATCTCAAATTCAAGCCAGCCCCGAAACTTAGTGACTCAGACTCTGGCTCAAAATAAAAAATAATGAAAAGGCTTGGATATAGCTGTTCACACTTGTCCAGGACATCAGGGCTGAGAACATCACCAGCAAGGATTTGCAAAATGGGTGGGTGCTGTAGGTCAGATGCGTCCCCAAAAGACCTGTGCTGGAAGCTTGATTCCCAGTGCAGCAGTGTTGACAGGGGATTCTGGGAAGTGCCAGGTTCTGCGTCCATGAATGGGTGAATGGCACAGTTATGGGGGTGGACTGGTTATGGTGGAGGTGGGTTCCTCATGGAGGATGACAGCAGCTTCCCTTCTCTCCTGCATCTGCCATCCACCACTGGATGGCCCAGCAAGAAATCTGCACCACACACCGGTACGTGGCTTTTGGACTTCTCGGTCTCCATGAGTCCTACCAGTCTCCGTCCTTTCCGAGTACTGTCTGGGCTCAAGTGTTCTGTACAGCAGTGGAAAAGGACGAAGACTGTGGGTGACCCACTTTTCAAAGAAACTCCCTGTAAGGGGTAGTGACACGCTCCTGTAATTCCAGCTACCTGGAGAGCTGAGGCGAGAGGATCTGAATTTAAGATCAGCTAGGACAATTTAGTGAGACTCTGTTCAAAAATAAAATAAACTGGGATGCAGCTCACTGGCAGAGCACCCTGGGATTGATCTCCAGTACTGCACACACACAGAAGGCCCCTTAAGCATCTCATTCTCACTCCTAAGTGTGTCACGTGGTCATTTAGGTGTGGTCACGTGAGGGGTCACAACCATGTTACAGCCAAGAAGGCTCGTGGGTGAGTGATTGGTGAAGGACCTGGGCCTCCAAATGGCAAGGGCTGGTCTGCCAATGACTGCTCAGCAATGTCCAAGAGCTGACCCTTCGGGGGACAAAGCAGAGAGGTGCTCAGAGGCTACAGACTCACAGGGCAGCAGGGGAGAGGGACCATCCAGGAGGCAAACTCACCCAGCATGATGGCGTCAACGGCTCCCCCAGGACAGAACTCGATCATGATCTGCAGAAAACACAAGGCATAGTGGGTGAGCAGGGGTGCCCTGCCCTAGAGGGAGAGACCTCCACAGGCCATGACCTCAGTGTGCTGGTCCCCAGCCTGTCCCCTCCTCCTCCTGCCAACCTGTCCCCAACCTCACAGGTGGCTCTGATGCCAGAGCAGCTGCCTGGGAGCTTCATGTTTCTGAAAAAGAGAAACCAACCTGCCATAGAAGCCCACACTTCAGTCTTCCCCACCAGACCTGCACCTCGCTTCCACCGGCCTGATCCCTCAGGGCCACCTGTCGGCCGCCCTACTTTCCATGCTGCATGGCCACGGCCCTGGAGGCTACCTTCCTGCCCTCATCCACAGCAGCCACACCTCACAGGACCCCACGCCCTTCTCTCCTCCTCGCCAGCTTCCACAGCCCAAGCTCGATCTGCCTCAAGCATCAGGGAAACCAGGTCTTCAAGGTCAGTTCAGATGGGGAAACTGAGGCTCCAAAAGGGGGTAGGGCTGGCCAAGGCCACAGATTATTTGGAGGCAGATCCTGGGCTGCAAAGGACTCTGCATCCATCAGACACCTTCCTGCACCCCTAGTGGGCCCTGGAAGAACCATGCCCTTAGGCCCTTTCAGGGCTCCCAGCCTAGTGCCAGGGCCAGAAAAGCAGGAATCTAGTTAAAAAGCACAGCAGGTAGTCACACACACACACACACACACCCGTCTCACGGTCTGCTCTTTACTTTCTTCTGACACACTCAGGCTCATGTCCATGTGCAAAGATGCTTGCCCATCTCACCGAATGAGGGACAGGAGCACACACTTTGAGCACTCCCAGACCACTCCCCAGCCCTGTCACTCCGCCACAGCCAAGGCCCAGAGCCACTGCCTGTGGGGTGGCCAAGAAGGCCACTCTGTAAACAGGAAGCAGCCCTTGACCCTGACCCAGTGGGACCCACGCCAGCTCTCCAGACTGGGCTGAGCCACAGTAAGGTGTGGGTGACACACCACAACCTTCCCGGGAATGGAAAGCATCTACAAGCCCGCCAGGGTGCCTGGCCCCGGCTGGGACACAGTCAACATGAACTGCTATTATAACTCCTTCCTGGGCTCCCGGACCTGTAGGATTTTGTTGTTTCTGGTCTGTTTTTTGAGATTCCATGAAAGTCACATCTCTTCTCTCCCAGGAAAATGCAAAATAGGTACCGATGTGAGTGTGTAATTCCACAGCCACTGAATCCTTGGGCACCCCGCAGGGCCACCACCACAGCCAGGGCAGCAGCCGTGCCTGGCTAACTGCATCTCACCACCCGTCTACCCTCAGTCCCACCAGCCATCTCTGTCACACGGGCCCCACCACGGACTTGTAGGATTTTCTACGAAGACCAGATGGGGTGCTGCCTGTAGCGTACAGGAGACAGCTCTGAGGTTCATAACAGGGCCAGGCCCCGCCCTCTTCTCTGACAGAGAACCATCCAAAAGGAAACAGCAGTAGACTTAAGTTCAGTAATAGCAGTGCCTCTTCACTGACTATGTGATTTTAGATAAGTCAGTCTCCCTGAGCCTCAGTTTCCTCCTCTGTAAAATAGCACTAATTTTTTTTTTTTCTTTTTTTTTTTTGAGCCAGGGTCTGGCTTTGTAGACTAGCCTCATCTCAAGATGCTCTTCCTGCCTCGGCCTCCCAAGTGCTGGGATCACACGTGTGCACTGCCACACCTGGCCCAAAACAGCACTAACAAACTCTGCCTCCATCTTCAAGACAATTAAATGAGATTCCTGGCATGAAAGCTACACTATTAATACATACTTATTGGCTCTCTAGCAAATGTGACACTTTTCAGCAGAAAAACGTCATACTCAGATCACATTAGTCGGGCTGCCTACAAAATATGCCTTCCCAAAACAACAGTTTATCAACTCACCCTCAGCGGCTCTGAAGAGCCAGTGTGAGACGTGGCTACACCCAGGCGGGTCCTGCATCTTGCAGCGAAACCATCCCTTGCACAACACCGTTCGTTACCCAAGGTCCCCACAACTCATCTCTCCCAGGTCAGGACTAGGAAAGCTTGTGCATTTTGCAATTCTGGTTCATTTCCTCTGCTTCAGTTCAAGAGTTCCGCACACCATTTTTGCTTTGGCTGCCGGGAAGCTCTGAGTGAAGTAACCTTCCTCAGCTTTGGTTTGATTCTCCCACCCTACTCACTGCTTTCAGTTTTTACAGGTCTAGGGGATTCAGTCTTCAGCTGGGGAGCAGCAACAGGCTGCAGGGGATTTGTATTATAAATCTGCCAGGGCCGGGTGTGGTGGTGCACAACTGTAATCCCAGCACTTGGGAACGCAGGAGGATCACTACGAGGTTGAGACCAGCCTGGGGTACATAGTGAGTCCAAGGCCAGCCTGGACTACACAGCAAGACCCTGGCTCAAAATATAAATAAATAAAATAAAAATAAAGTAAAAAATAAATCTGTCAGGGCTGGCCCAGACATACATGGGCTTTAGTGACTGAAGCACTAATCTGATAGTAAACACTGGGACAGCCACTGCCCTCCAGCTCTGGGTTCTGCATCCACAGATTCAGTCAACTTCACATTGAGCACTCCTGAAAAAGTGCCCCGGTACTGAACATAGAAAGTTACTTCTTCTCACTGTTCCCTAAACGATACAGTGTAACAACTGACAACTGACGCTGCATGTCCACTGTGTTAGGTGTCAGAAGTAATCTGGAGATGGTCCAAACTGCACAGGAGGGCTGGGTGGTGACCCAAACACTGCGCCCTGTCACGCGTCTGCAGACTTTGGTATCCACTGGAGCCAACCTCCCCATACAGGAAGAGGAGACCACAGCAGTGCTAATAATAAATGCAAACAAAATAATCTCAGTGCCTCTGGAAGTTAATAAATACACATGGGAGAAGAGAGGATGGGACATGTCCTTCACTGGAGTACTACACTTTCATCTTTTATTCAATCAAAACGTGTCATAAAACGTTTATCAGAAATGAACCTTTTTTTTTTTAATGGAAAAAGACTATTCTGTTGGACATGGTGGCACAGCCTGTAACCCAGGCACTCTGGGGGACCGAGGCACAACTTAGCAAGCTCCCATGTCAACATCAAGTAATACAAAAGGCTGGAGATGCAGCTTGATGCAAAGGCTGTGGGTCCCCTGCACCACACAAAGAGGGCAGAAAAGATGGAAGAATAAAGGAAGGAAGACGAAAAGGAGAAAAAAGAAAGGACTAGATGGAAAAAAAGCCTGGCTGCAGTTCCTGTGAGGAGGACAGGGTGTCCATGCGTCCGACTGCCCATGGTGCTGTTACCACAGCTCTTTGGAGACACAAGCTCCTAGGGACCAGCAGAAGTACAGCTGTCACCAGCTCCCAGCACACAAGTTCTGGTTCCTGAATCAGCCAAGGCACCGAGCAGCTCAACTTCTTCTTCTTTTTTTTTTTTTTTTTTGGTACCAGGATCAAACTCACAACCATACACTTGCCGGGCAGGTGCTTATACAGCTGAGCTAAATCCCAGCCCTGCAGCCTAGCTTCTAAGTAGTTCAGGGTTTTCTCCAGGCCTATGGACCTGAAGTTTGGGATGGGTTTGATGTATCAGCAAATAGCAACTGAGTCTCCACCAAAGGCCCACATTGCTATGCACAATGGGGGTCCGTTAAAGTAGCATTCAATCAACAAATACTGTCTGAGCTCTTAGTCCTGTCAAGCCTGGAGACTAAGAACCCAGGACAAATGTGACAGGCTCTTGCCTAAGACCAGAGGCATAGCAAGGGGCAGAGAGGAGCGCTGCAGCCCCCAGGACCATGCTACCAGGAGCCTGTGGAGGCTATCCTGGGCATCCTGAAAGAGGTATCCCAGGAGAGGTGACCCTCGGGCTGCTTATAAAGGGAGAATTTTGCTAATGGAGAAGGCTGAGGACATTGCAGACAGAACAAGGGCAGAAGCAAGGCATCATGGGAGAAGGTAGCAAGTGGGCAGCATGGAGCACGGGTTTCAGGAGGGCGGAAGCAGAGCAGGCTGGAAGAGTCGGGAACTAGAGCCTCAATGTTTCAAAGTATGAGCCTTCCCTGGGAAGTGTGTGTGTGTGTGTGTGCAGGTGACCCAGGGTTTCAGTGGCCAGGTCTCTGCTTCAGAGCAATCCCTCTGGATAGGGACTCTTTGGAGGCTGGAAAAGGCAAGAGTGGATTTTCAGCAGAAGACAGAAAAGAGTGTGCTTTATCAGGCCTGCTGCCTGGGGCATCATACAGGGGCTGCCTCCCACGCCAACATGGCATTTCTTCCTTCCCTTTTGTGAAAAAGCCATGTGACCTTGCTGGGATTTATCCCATCTCAGGCAAGAGGGAGAAAGAGGGAAGGGAGGGCAAAAGCAGTGTACCATGCTTCATGGTCTCACTCTAGAAGCAAAGGAAAACACAGCCCAGTGGCTGCAGGCAGCCATCTTGCAACCACGAGGGAAACCAATATGAAAGCAAAGCAGATGTACTCAGGACACAGAGAACCAGCAAGACGGAGATGAAGCCCTGCTCTCACCCCCCTCCTTAACTGGCTTTTCAGCTAAAATGATACATCTCTCTGGTTGTCTAGGTTAGCTTGAGGTCTGCTATTACAAAAGCGTAAGACATGTGGAATATGAATTAGGGCCACAGGAGAGGAGGATGAGGAGGCCAGCTTGATGGGCAAGTAAGCAGCTCCTGGAGCATCCTGCACTCCAGGTGGTACCACGTGAAAATGCTACACCTCGGTTCTCAAACTTTTGTGGGTAGGTCACCTGCCAGGTGAGCGTGCATCAACTCTGGGCGATTCCGTGGTCACAGGTGGAGCCCATGAGCCTGCATTTCTCACTGTGCTCGGCTGCTGCAGGGTCCCCAGAACACACCTGGGAACTGCTTCTGGATGGAGATTCTCAGCTGGGCGAGGGGCCTCCCCAGGTCACACCTCTGTTATCCCTCACAAGACCACAGTGTGACACTGTGGCAGGGACACCTGCAGGCAAATGGCATGAGGACTGCC